TTTGGTTTGCCTATGACCACCTGCCTGCCATAAAACACAATTCAATATCCAGGTGCTCCCTCACAGACACACCTGTGTGTTGCAAGGGTGGAAAGCAGCGGACTCTTACTGTTGGGTGAAAGATACCTTTTCAGGATCCTCTCGCAAGGTCATTCAAGGAAGAATCTTCCCAGGCCACTGATTTCGACCTCTCCACTATATATCTCCCCAGCCCATAACTCAATCCTATCATAACTCAAAACACTATCTTCCTATATTCCTGGAGTTTTTTTGCCCTAAATGCTCAAAATATTTCCTCCCTGAAAACAAAGTCTTAATCCCACACAGTTAAACTTTTGCAATCAACCAATCTCTCCCTTGCCATCATGGACAATACTGAAGATGGAGAGAGGGTGCCCCTCCATTTGCTCATTAGAAACCACCAGGCATCCTCTGCCACAAAGCTTTTACTTCATCTGCTTAGTGAAACTGCTTCTGCTGCTGGTCACCATGTCCTGTATGGTCACCATGACCACCGATTTGTCCACTAACCCAATGCCCTTTCCTGTGTCCTCACTCTATTGCTTTTTCTGCAGCACTTAGCTTGACTGGCCAACCTTCCTCTAATACCATGGCTTCAGAGATACCTACTGGTTCTCCTACCATCCTGGCATTCTTTATTTTTACTGGACTATTGGCAAAACTCTATTCAAGAGTAATAACATTCATGTCAATGCTGGTTTCACTCTTGGTTCAAGTGAAGCTTCTCACACTGTCAGTGCTAGTCATTAAAATTCCCCTGCAAGGGCCCCTCACTAAGGTTGCTCAGAACAATCTAACACTAGTGGAGAAGAATGGGAATTGTCTAGGCATCATTCTATAATGGAAAATATTTATCCCTTTAGACTACCTAACACTTGCATCGTGTCTTACATATATGTCTGCCATTCACCTCCTCCAATCTTACTGTAAGCCAGAGCTTTAACTTAAGGCCTTATAACAAATTGGTGAGAAATACCAATCCTATATAATAAAACGGTTTGTATATAGAGCAATCAACAATTATTTTAAGCATAGATAATAAGCACAGATAGCTACGGTGAAGTTCTAGTGTTCATTACTAATCCATCCTATCAGGGCCTGGGGGAAACCAGTAATCGCTTTATATGTAGTTCTGTGCAATGTTCCTTTAGCAAAATTTTCTGTCCTTTATGAAATGACAAAATTATTTTCTCATAAGATAATGGACATATTCTCTGGATTTCCTGTGTATATAGCAGCTTTTTAATTTATTTTCTTTTTTGTGTATTTTCACTTTGATTTTGCCAAGGGAAAACTTTTGTGTGACTCATGAAGTAGGCAATAATCATGACCAAGTATTAGCTTAGAATCTTTTTATTAAAGAAGGTCCCTCAAACACTTTTATTAACAAGTAGATATAAACTTGACAAAAGCACCTCTCAAAGTCACAGTTCTAACTGTTTTTGGAATATCAACCAGAAGGCAGAGAACCCAGTGGCGATGGCTTAGCAGCCAAACAATGACAACAAAATGGCCAGTCTTATGCCTTCTATCAAACATAACCATCACCCCCTCTGTTTCTGTCCTCAGGTATGGAGAGAAGTTGGGGTTCAAAACTTGGTTTGTCTAGACCACATGGAGCACTTGCTTTGTTAGTAGACAAGCTCTCCACCCCTCCCCAGATTCTTGGGCATCATGGTGGCTATGCTCTCTGCACCAAAACTTCTCATCCCTGACCTTCATCTAGACCTTAAAGTGTCTGATTCTCCCCGGGCATGGGCGAACCAGTGGGCCAGCAGCGTTGCCTGGCTTGGCCGGCTTATGTTGTTTCATCATAGTAAACGATTCTCCTGACTCCATTGAGAAGGACTCGCGCAGGTTATAGTGTGTCTGGGATGGTGACAGTGCCCCGGGAGCTGCCACCACTTTGGATCCCACCACCATGGCCGCTGGAGCTGGATTAGCAGGAGAAGGTGCAGGTGCAGCCGCATCTGCTGCAGAGGTGGGCACCCCCATTTTGGGGTCGCCTGGCAGGGGCTGTGGGAACACATGAAAAGAAAGGACCATTTCCTCAAGTTATCTATTTTTGTCCTTCCAGACCATGCCACCCAGGCTCTGGATAGAAGCATCCTGAATCTCTCACAGTATTAATTTTATCTGGAAGGAATAAAGAACTATTAGGTAGTTCTTTGGCAACAAATACTGGACTGTCATCAGAGCTACAGAGGAAAGATAACAAGTCTATAACAGGCTCAGTCTCACCAATGGTATTGGGGACAGTGGATTTATGCACACAAGTCCCACAAGCAAAAGCACTGCACTTCACTGTTAACCTTCAGCAACAACATCAGCCTCTTTATCACCTACACCCATAGCCACTAGAAGCTGCCAGGCAAATATAGCCTCTGCAAATTCAGAAAACCACTCCAAAGTCTCTATAAATCAAAAATCAGCCTTGTCACTTCCCATTAGAGTAGCTCTACCCTGTAGCCATCCGTGGGAGAGGAACACACGGCTACAGTATCCTTTCATTTACTGATGATTTCACATACCCAGTGCTTCTTCTATCATGGGGCCAGAAAGATAGGGCAGCAAATACCCTGAAATCACTACACAGTGAATACCATTAGTTATTCATGAATTCTGCAGGGGCAAGTAGATCCAAGAAGCCATTACCTGTGGCTGGAACATGGTGCAGGCAACCTCTACGCTTTCCCCTCCGAGCCGCTGAATGTGCGACCCCTTACAGAAGCCATATTGCTGCCCAAAAAAAGAGAAGTTAGTTATATGAGTTGATTAAAACTTACTTTCCTCTCAGTCACTGATACTCCAAAATATCAAGGCAAAAAAACTGAAATTTTTATTTCCTTTTTAAGAAAGCAATTTCCCAAAGTTTAGAATTTTCTGCTTAGAGAAGTTATGTAATAAATAAATTGATGATTGATACGGTTGATAGAATCTTTGAGAGAGAGAAAAATCACCCATAACCTCCAAAATGGTGGTGACTCAGGAGAATTTCTATTCACAACTATGTATGTCTTACTTTTCGATACTATTAAATATCATTTAACAATTGAGATATTTGTGATAATACTGTTTTGTATCCTGTATTTTTCTGCATAGCATAACATTTTCTTATATTACTCATTATCCCTTGAGAACATAATTTTAATATTCCTTGTGCGTAATTTTCTTTTCACCTAGGTATCATATTTTATTCAATGATCCCCTTATGATGGGCATTGAACGTTTTTTTAATTATTTTATGGCCATGATAAATCATCTTTAAAGTTACATTTCTGTCAATATCTAAGATGATTTCTTTAAGCTGAATTTCTAGAAGTGGACACAGATCTCAAAAATGTGAAAATTTTCAAGTCAGAGATACATCCCCACAGTCTACACTTCACACTCTCAGTCACCCAGCATGACTCAGCTTAATTAGGAAATATCTTGTTTCTTTCTCCTAACTCCATGGGCCTCCAGTGGGTGATTTGGCAGCAGCACTAAAGGCTGCAGGTGACACCCTGGAGGACCCAGCCCCACAGGATGGGGGGGGGGACACAGTGCCTGCTGGCCATTTCCATCCCTGGCTACTCCCTCATTCTAGCCTGCTGTGCTCACCTTTTCAGCCAACAAGTTGCACATGGCTGGGTCTATCACCTCTTTAGCAACACAGTCCGTGGCAGCCACTACAAACTCCACATAGGTGTAAGGTGGAACAGGCTAATGAGAAGAAATGAAATGCTTATGAGATGACAGGACTTGGCATATAAAAGGAGGAAGGAGAAGTGGGAGAAAGCACAGGGAGCCAAACCTTGCTCAGGGCCAGGTTACACATTCACACACAGCAGCTGCTTAGCCAGGAGGCTCCCAGGGGTCCACTGCTGATGCCTGACCTGAGCATGGACACCCCCACCCCCAACATACCTCCCATACAGGCTATTGCAGATGGGGCAGGAGCGTGAAGAGGTGAACCCCTTTCCTGCCCTTGTTATGGAGCAAGATCAATTGGAGACTGTAGGTGAAAGTGTGGCTTATATTTGTGCTCTTGTTTTTTCATAGCTCTTGGAGTATGTAGCCAATTGCATTGTCACAATTAAATGTTTTATAGTGATTTAAGACACATTGGGATCCTGCATTATAGGCCTTTGAGTATAAGTAGGCGCCTCCTTTTCGACCAGTCAATAGAAGAGTGCCACTCGTGCAGAGGTGATAAGGAGGATGAGGTGGACCTTGTGAATTGAGAGTGGTGGGATTATATGGGTACTTTTACCGCTGAAGAGGAAGCGCAGCTGACTGGAAGAAGAGCTGAGGACCCCCCACCCCCCACCCCCCCATCTGTGTGGGAGCCTTTTTCCTGTGACAGCACTTTAGCACCGAGGCGCACAGCTTTTTTGGCCCTCTAGACACTCAAGGTCCTCTGCCCCTAAGCCCTCTTCTTTCCCTTTTCTCCCACCACCCACTTTGTCCTCTCTGTTGCAACCTGTGCGCCACATATATTCCCCAAAGTGCTACCAAACTGTCAAAAATTTCGGCCTCAGTCTTACCACAATTTGAGCCCGGGAAGTTTCCACAAGCTGATAATAGGAGCCATTGCTCTGAGCATTGAAGGCGGCCAGCGCCTTGTTTACGGCTTCCACCACGCTGGTGTTGTTCCGTGGGGCCAGCAGGGGACATTCTGGACACACCTTCCGCACATCCTCAGCTGAGTCTATGGACAGAAAGACCCCCCACCCCCGCATCTGGGTTTGAATTTTGTGGGGCTCACCCCAGCTTTGCTTATTTAGAAAAGTTAACCCATGTTTCATTGGTTTCGCTGCTTCTTACTAACTGACCCTTCGGTTGGCTCAGGTCCTCCTGGTCTTTCTTGCAGAACTCCCCTCCTCAAAGGGGCATTCTTCACTTCCAGGGAAAACAGTTCTTTAAAACAGCGTCTTGGCCCTCCCTGGTGGCGCAGCGGGTTAAAGCACTGCACTAAGAAGCTGAAACCACTTTCACATGAGTTCGATTCCCGCCTGCCCCGGAGGTGACCACATGGCGTGGCAGACCTCTCCTGACCCGCCCGCTGCTCCCCTCAGCAGTGTACTTCATAGATCCGCCTGTTCTGCTCCCCACTCTGTCTCTGGTGAAGCTTCTCACTGCCCCTAAGCCTCTGGCCTGTACCCCAGTTCTGTATGCACAAATAAATAAATCTTTAAAAAAAAAAAAACAGAGTCTTAAAATTCACCAAACTCAGGAAACTTATCTTCTCCTTTACCTTTGCCAACAAAGTGGCTGAAAACAAGCTTAAAATTAAAATTGATATCTTTACCTGGACTGGAATCACATTTTGCAGACAACACTGTAAACTGGCCATCCTGTTTCAGTATGTGGAAATCACAGTCTCCTTCCACAGCCTGGAGAAATAAAGCCCACAGCTAGGGGGGTGGGGAGCAGCCTCCCACCTCCTCTCCAGCAGGAATGCACCCTCAGGCATGATGGTCACAAACTAGCCTCACAAAATGATCTTCACTGATACTGAAATGGACAACCTCTGGTGTTAGGGAGGGTTACAAAGCAACTTGGACTATTGCAAAAATCAGCTCAGAGGACAGAGACCTAGAGGGCATGGCCAGAAACTGCCCAAGGGCCAGCCAGGAAGGCAGGCTGGGGACTGGACAAAATGGACCTGTTCGTTGCACACTGCAATGGAAGTGGCAGGGGCACCACCCACGTCACCCAAGGGGGGTACTCACATGCTGTGCCACCTGCCGCACAGTGCAGTTTTCCACAGGGGTGGGGTCCAGGGCGTGGCAGGTAGTTTCCAAGGTGTCTATTTCAAGCACAAACACCTCTCCATTGGGCCCCTGTAGAGACATTGACAAGAGGTGAGTAGTCAGTTCCCTGATTATGTGGAGCCAGCCAAAATGTGATCCCCACTGGGCTTGAGCCCACCCCTGCTGGAGACCTGAGGGGAAAGTCATCCCTATGGTTAGTCCGCACTTCCCTCCATGTAACCGCCAGGTGCCTGTGGGTAATGGAAAGAGTTTCTCAGTGGCTGGCAGCTCTGAATGGGCGCAGGGAGAGAAAGTGCTGTTTTAGGCAGGTTGAGGAAGCCAGTTGTCTTTCTGAAATGCGACAACATCTGGTGTCAGAGAGGGCCACAAGCAACTTGGACTTTTGCAAAAATCAGCTCAGGGGACAGTGGCCTAAAGAGCATGGCCAGAAACTGCCCAAGGGGCAGTTGTCTTTCTGTTCGTCCTTATTTAATACTTAAACTCACCCTTTACTGTTTTGAAAATGTCAGCTTTGGGCTTTCTCCATGAGTCATCTAAGTAAGGGTGTTGTAAGATATCTAATTGTCTTCACTTTACCTTGTCCATCTTCCCTCTACTTTCTCCTCTTCCCTTTTCATCATCTGCTTTCTTTCTTTCCTGTTTTCTTTTTCCTTCTAAAGGAAAGTTCTACTTTCTGTCTTTGGCCTTTAGATAACTGGATGTAAAGTTGTTGCTCTCGACTTCCCCCTGCTGGTGGTAAGGGGGAAGAGCGGGCACTGAGGACGCTGTGTGAGAGGCACCAGCCAAGCAGACAAGGGTGGGCGAAGGGTGGGTGATGGGTGGTCGCCCAGCTTGTACAGCTCCTTGCTCTACCTTCAGTGAAAATCCTAGTGTCTGCCTGTCCGATGCCTTTCTCTCCAGTATGCATCTTATGCCTTATCCCCTGAACTCATCAGTGTTTACTTTGAGCCACTACTGGGCTTCAGTATAATTGCAGCTCTTTTAAAATCCAGCTTGGACCATCCTGATTCCGAATATTTTGCCCCATGGTGAAATCAGCTGCAGTCAGTCAGCACAGATGTCCTCGATTTACTTTACTTACCTTTCCAAATCATAAGTCCCTCAGTGGCACATTGTCTTTCTCGCTTTTTTAAGAGGTTGAACCACACACACACACACACAAAAGCCAATATTTGGCTGGTTTAAATAAACAAAAATGACATTTCGTATCTCCCATAGTATCCAACACTTACTTGCCCACAGAAAGCTTGTAATCAAAATTTGCTGAAAGAATTATCTTCGATCAGATATAAGATTTAATCTCTAAATAAGCAATAGACATGTGTTTTCCCAGCCCTCTAAATCCCTAAGCTGATCCCTCTGGCGGATCTGCCTGCCTAGTTTTCACTGTCCCTGACCTGGGACTGTGTTCATCTTTTGTATAGCATGTGAGGATGTGAATCCTGTTTGTGCCAACTTCTCTGAGAGCTGGGTGTTTGGCAGGCAGCTTGTATGAGGAAGGAGCTTAAGTCTGGAATCAAATCCCAGCCCTATGCTTACTAATTCTGTGAAATGGGGGCAGGGGGTGCCCTAGTATGTCATATCCTTGGTTTTCTCATCTGCACTACCTACCTGGAAGGTAGAAGGGATACGATGATATTTGAGGAAAGGATAAGGAGTGGATATTTGACAGTAGGTAGCTGTCAGATGTTAATGTCACTTACTCTCAGTCTTCTTCAGAGAAATGGAAGCCAAAAAAGTAAATGATTTCTAGGTCAGTGGTGATTTGACATGAGAATCCTGCCTCTTAGGTCCTAGTTTTTCTAGTGAAGTTACACTTTCTACCTGTGATCTTCAAAATAGCATTTGAACCCTTTTGTATACTCTCCAATTGTCTCTTCCATTCAGCACCTCTTTTGAGACCTGTGACTAAAGAATGTCTCCTCTTTTGATCTCTGCCTGGCCCTTTTTTCATGCCTGCAAAAAGCAAGGGGCTCCCCCACCCTCACCCCCACCCCCATCCCGCCCTTGCAGTTCTTCTCGTGCGGGAGATGAGCTCTTTGGATGCGCCAAGGTGAGCTTTCCACACACGTTCTTCCAGGTTCACTTACCCGAGGCCACACCTTCACTTTATCGATCTGGTTCAAGATGTGCTTGTAGCCCTGAAGAAGTTTGGCATTGATGTATTTCAGGGCCACCCCGGCTACTTGCTCTGTTTCAGGGTCATCACAGTTCAGCTGCCTATAAGTCCCCACTTCAACTAAAGGGACTGATTGGCAGCCCCAGAGCTGAGCAAGGCAAAGGAGCAGGACGAGGCACCGCATGACTGTTCCAGAGAGGCCCTGGCAGGTGGCAGAAGCCTTCGGGACCAACCCAGCTGCTCTGCTGGAAAAGGTAGATGGATAGAGGGGCTGAGGGTTTTATTTATCTGTCAGAGCCGCCACAGGAATTGCATAAGAACATGTGGCGATTTCTGTTCTGGCTCCAAGAAATTCCCTGCAAACATCAGGCCCGGAAAAGCAAACAAGTTAGGACACTGCTAGTCTCCCAGAAATTTGCCAAAGTCAATGCTGCTGCGGCGGGGGTGGGGCAGATTCCCCAAAGTCAGCTTGGAACATGGCAACAGCAGAAGGAGAGAACACAGTGGTGGGGGAAGAGGCGCAAGCCCAGGCAGGGGGGTTGGGGGGTGCCTCAGGGCCATCATGCGGTGGGGCTGGCAGCAGAGGGAGGCTCCCCTTGTGAACTGAGCGCACTGTAGGGCTGGTGAGGGGGGCCCGGGGCTTGTAGTAATTCAATAAAATCCTTTAATGTGAGGGAGGAGTATCTCCTCCAAAGGAGGAGGCAGAGGAGGAAGAACCCCACAGATGTAACAAAGATACAGACATCTTGAGCAAAGGGGAGAGTTGTGGGAGACCGTGGGTAAGATGGCTGGAGAATCAAAGGAAGGAAGGGAAATGTTTCTGCCTGAAGTGAGGGATGAGGTAAGAGGAGGAGGCTCCTGCAGCAGGGCCCAGGAGAGCTACAGCGAGCAGATCAGTGGGGAGTTGCTTACTCCCTCTTCTTCTTTGCTGCAGACCCTCCAGCCAGGGCCCTGCCGGTGACAGCATCGAGGAGCACCACCTGAGTGAGGGTGGTTGGTGCCAGAGGCCCCAGGCCCTCAGCCAGTGCACACAGCAGCAGGCGGGACCGCTGGTCTTGCAGCCACTCAGCAAAGCCCTGGTTTTGAGGCCAACACAATACTTGGCCGCTGCAGCTAAGAACACAAGGGCCCATTTTGTGCCCTTCGCCACCTTAGTAGGATTAAAGTGAATCTTTCTCACAAAAACACTCATTCAAAAAGACACCTGCACCCCCATGTTTATTGCAGCTTTATTCATAATTGGAAAAACATGGAAGCAGCCCAAATGCCCAAAAGTGGATGGCTGGATTAACAAGATGTGGTCAATGTACACAATGGAGTATTATTCAGCAACCAGAAAAAGGAGACTCATGCCTTTTGCAGCAACATGGATGGAGCTGGAGAAGATCATGCTTAGTGAGATAAGCCAGAAAGAAAAGGAAAAATATTAGATAGTTTCACTCATAGCAGGAGTATAAAGGTCCTGGGGAGAAAATAATAATGAACAGCTATAGAACAACGACATTTTACAGGGTTGGAATGGGGAATGGGATCAAAACGGTGGGGGAAGGGGAGTGCACTAGACTCTGGTGATAGCACACGGGTGATCTGGTGATGGGAGGCCCATGGGGATTACGAGTGAGATGGGAAAAGGAACAAAATTATGTAAAAATAAACTGTTATATTATTTTTTAAAAAGTGAGCATCTTTCTGACAAAGGCACTGGGCACTGCCTTAAAGTGGCCCTGGACTACCTGGAGTGTGACCTCCAAGGAGGGTGGGCAGGATACTGAGGTATCTGGGACAGTCATGTCATCTGAGGACCTGGTGCAGTTCATCCTGGAGCAAAGGAGTCCCAGCATGGAGCCCATCCTGCTCTTCAAATATTTAGAGGTCACCACTGTGTGGGGCTGGATTTGTTACGGTGTTTGATGTTGCTTCAGAGAAGAAAATTTGGCTGGAATGAAAAAGGGTGGCCTTCTATAGGAAAGCTTCATGATATTGATTTTCAGGGGGGGAGGAGAGGAAGATCATAGAGAGGTGAGTGTGGTGGGGCAGAGAAGGTAGCTAAAGGCCTTTTCACATGGCACGCACCCAGAATCCCAGTGCCACAGGCTTAGAAGTTATGGTCAGGACTCCGAGGCCTCTCTGAGAGAGGGGTCCCAGCCCTTAGAGACCTCAGGCTAGGTCAGGTTGTCTCACGAGAGGACCCTCAATGTTATGGATGACTTTCCACTGGCCCCCTTCTCTTCAGCACTTTGACTCAGAAGCAACTTCTGGTGACTGCGATGCTTTGTCTTTAAATAATCTTTTAAAATACAAAATGCCTTCCTTACTGGAAATTTAAAAATCATCAAAGTCTATACAGTGAGTTCTCGCTCCTATGTCAGAAGCTCAAGAGTATGCGGTAGAACTGTATTGTCCACAGCACAGCTGAATTTCTGACTGAGCCCTCTTCTGTGAAAATTGAACCTGGTCATTGCCAGGTATCCTAATTTCCCAGAGACTTCGGCTGGACCCCAGTGCCATTTAGGTTGTCCATGTGCGGCTTCTCTCTCCCTTTCCCCCAAACCTGAAACCTTTATAAATACTACCTTACTGAAGGGCAGCAAGAGCTGCCCCCACTCCAGCCACCCCATCACCCCCACCTTTACCTTGCGCTCCAAGGGTCTGTGCTGGCATCTCTGCCAGGTCACCAGTCACATCTGGTCCTCAGGCACTTCCACCTGCGGGTTCGTGTCCTGCTGGGCCCCTTCTAATCCATAGCAGGACTGCTGTTCCTGTGTCCTTTGAATAGTTTCCTCATCTCAGCTGTGAGACCCTTTCTAGATCACAAGCCTTCTCTCAGCTGTTACCCCTTCCTTTAAGCATGAGAAAGTTGGCTGCTGTGCCCAGTGAAGCTGCCTACCTAGATACCCCTCTCCAGTCCTGCTCCCCATTCTAGAAGTATGACTCAGGTCTCCTCTGCTCTGGGGTTTTTTCACTATTCTTGATGTGATTCTATTACCATCCCAACCTGAGAGTGGGGGAAGTTATGGTGTGGGGGGGACAAAATAAAGTTCCTTTTTGCTACTCCTTTCTGATCCTTTCTTATACTTGGAGCATTCCTTTTGTTCTTGGATTTTCCATGGATGACAGTTTCTAAAGCTAGTAAGCAGAGCTCACCCACCTGTAGTGGACTAGGAGATAAAGGGAACCAAGACAGGACCTATAGCTGCAACATCTGGAAGTTGAGTCTTAGCTGTGGGGAACCAGCTTCCCTGCCTTTCCTAGGGATGAGGGTGAGAGCTCACCTATTTGGAGCTGCTGGTGGCTAGCTGGCAACCCAAAAATCACCCCTCCCTCCCTCACCTGACTCCTTGGGCTTCCCCAGGTTTCCAAGCCTACTAGCCGTCAGAGAGCGTCACCTCTCTGCTCCCCTGACTTCCCAAAAGAACAGGCTTGCTAGACCAGCCTGCCGTGATCTACCTGGGGCTGCAGGCCTCTCATTTGACAGCCATAAAGGACGTCCTCTTCTCCACCCAAAATCCTGAAACTTGCCTGAGCTCATAGTGCATCCCAGGCAGTCAAGCACTGCCCACCATAAGGAGAACTGGGTGCTGGGCAGGTACTGACCCAGGGCTGCCGGCAGCGGGCTTGCTTAGAGGTCCTGAGAAGCACCAGCCCTCCCACATCGGGACTTGGCAGGCACTTAGCCAGCTTAACTACTATATGCAATCTGCGATATCTCTTAGTACCTGCTTAAGTATTAGCTGGCAGGGAGATTTTTGTTGGAGAGTTTTCCTTTCAGCACATTCAAACTATCATGCCATTCGTTTCTACTTGTAAGCAGGCATGCAGAGTTGAAGGAGTGAGAGTTTGACAAAGAAACAACAGTGAAAGACATTCATTTCCTCTAAAGCTGCCTTATTTCATTTTTTTAAAAAAAAATATTTATTTATGCTTACAGAACTAGGGAGCAGGCCAGAGGTGTGGTGGCTGAGAGGATTCACTAGAGACAGAATGGGGAACAGAACAGGCAGATGTACTGAAACGCACTGCTGAAGGGAGAAGTGGGCAGGTCAGGAGAGGTCTGCCACGCCATGTGGGTCAGCTCCCTGGCCGGGGATCGAACTCTTGCTGCAGTGGCTTCTGAGAGCTTCATAGCGGCAGAGCTTTAACCTGTTGCACCACCAGGGAGAGCCCTTATTTCATTTTTTAAAATTACTTCTTCATGCGTTTTTCTGTAAGGCCCACATCATTGCGTTTAAACAATCTCTCTCCGTTCACAGATGTCTGATAGTGTCTTGAAGAGACCCTGGGCATGTTCCAGTGCGTTGAGGGGTGCAGACCAAAAGAACCAAGCAAAAACGGAGCAGCAGCCTCCAGGAAATGGCAGCGGGGCACAGAGCTGGGCTTGCTGGTAGAGCGCCCAGGCGGCTGACTCCGGAGTTATCAAGATGGCCGCCCAGGATGGCACCAGGCCCTCTGAATTTGCAGTAGAGATTCCCTTAAGGAGGCAGTGATACATTTAAGCAATTCAGGCAGACTAGCAAATATAGTTGCCAGTGAAGAGTCAGGACAAGAAGGATCATGGCAAACTTGGGGTGGGAGTTGTTGTGGACTAGATGGTTCTGTGAGCCCTGCCAGCTGATGCAGGTCTTGAAGGGAAAGGATAGAGCAAGAGGGAACGTATTATCAAGTAGGCAGCAAGAGCAAAACACCCAGTATTTCACAAATCAGGACATGAACAAGTCAATAAGCATCAACAAAAGCCAGAAGACCAATTGATTTTCACAGGGAGGAAGTGGCAGTGGTTGATGTTTAAATCGTTGGGTCACATTCCTGGCACTGTCCTTTCGAGTCCTTAAACAGCCTGGGCCCTGAGAGGCTGAGTGTTCATTTTTGATAAGCCTCGTATTTCTTCGTTCACATGGACGTTGGACACCTGCTATCCATGCCCTTAGGTGCCAGGATGGTGAGTGATGAGAAGACAGTGTCTGCCCTCAGTGTCACTTTGGTTCATATGGTAGAGCAGCATCTTATCAGCCAAGAACTAGGAGTTAGTGTATGAAATTATCATGATGTTTGCTCTGTAGAGACAGATTAGGATTTATTTCTGCAACACAAAACGTGGGTCAATGGAATGCAAATTACCCTTTTCCCAGGGCCCAACAAGTTCCTCATGGAGGTAGTTTAGGGCCAGTGTCCTAAAAGTGATTTGGAAGAATGCTTCCTGCTGGGTGTCAATGCACCAGATTAGGAAAT